ATATACTGCATCCCAGACCAAGGCCATTGCAACACCGGATCGCAACCCTAGATTTTCGCTTCAGCCTCAACCGTCGCAACTGCCTCAGCCTCGGACGCCAACTCTCTCACAATCCGCGATTCCTCTGCGCCGAACTTTGATGACTCCAAGTTACACCCCCGCCACTGCGCGCTCGAACATCCAAGCTGGCTATCGTCGGTACGGTGCAGCATCCGGTCTTAGCTCTGCCACTAACACGAGTGATGGTTCCACTGAGGAGAGCGTCTTACCTCCACGACCAGAGGCCTCCCAGACTCGAATCGTTGCACCCTCTAGCAAATTAGCTACCAGCTACACTCCGATCAGCCAAAACCGAGTTCGAACCAACAGTCTAGGCGCGCGGAAATTTGGGCTTCGACCGCGGTCACTTGTCGTGTCTGATGACGCTATCAACACATTCGATGACAGAATTGATTAAATCCGTTCACGCCTCTTTTTGCTTCTTCCCCACCTCGCATCTAAAGACGCCAACGTCGTTTACGCATCCACACCCTCCCATACACCTACACCATATCACGCAGCGCCTCATTCTTGGTATATGGATTGATTTCAGTTCAGCCGGCGTTTCTCTTATGATTTTGATTTTGACTCTCCCGGAATCGCCATGGAGCATTCTTGGAGATGTCTGTACGAAGTACTACCCACCTGCATTTGCACTATGTAACGAGAGACTTCTTCCGATGCACTTACTACCACTGAGTCAACCGATCAACTCTGGCGAATTTTCCGTTTGCAAACATGCCTTGCGTGGCACCATGAGATCAACCATGCATTATACGAATTTACTTGTATCTGTCTGAGCGATTTTCTTCATATGCTCCCTCGCTTCTTTCTTTCTTTCTTTTTTCTCCTGCTATCTATTTCTTTGCATGATCTCGGCCACTACTGCACATACATAGACGAGGGAGGTTCGGAAATTCTAGTTCCGGCCCCCAGGATTGGCCATGACCCAGCCCAGCACCCAAAGGACTTGATATCTCAAGACCAGCACTCTCCTTTCTTTCTTTGTCTCGAATTCTCGTCTTCCATTCGTTGAACCCATCTCGTTCTTCCTACAATCTTACCTTATCTATTCCCATCGGCGGTGTCCCCACTGATTCACAACCCCCATCCAATCAACCTCACAGATCCCATGACACAATGTACAGTACTGTATGTACCTACCCACCCTCAGAGGGCCAAGCATTTGTTGTTCTTATTCTATACATGTACAAAACAGAGATCTTGTCTATGATGCACTGGGGTAAATTTACGGAGACGGATGGATCTGCATCTTAACTACCAACGAAGTGATGATGTTCATCTCATGCATGCCTTTGGTCTTCCCGCTTCCATTGCAGCCCGTCGCTCAGTCTGCGTTTCCGGACCATAGATTAGCGATCGTTGTTGTATATCTGCCTAACTATCGGCGGTTGCCTGCGGGACCTGGTCTCCTGGCCTACTGTAGCTAGTCCTCTGCGATGTATGTATGACCTCTGGACTGACTTCCGTGTGTAAACACCGCCATGTCCATCAACAATTTTCCACCCAGTTCGAGACGCGAATTCCATGTGCGGAGGCAACCCCCCGGACACCGCCCGATATCACCGACAGTGCCGGATATACTGGATACTTCCGCTGGGGCTGCCAGTAATGAGTTACCGAGACGAACAGAACAGGTACAGTACCAAGAGTGAGTGGGGACCGTGTCAGGCCAGTGAATTCGACGACCTGGTAGTCACTACCGGCTGAACTTAGCCGTCAGCGACACATCTCGTAGTTAGTTCGATTTCAATACAACGAGATGGTGAGTGAATACGGGCTATTGACTCTCTACTACAACGATCTACAAGAATGAAACAAATGGATGAGAAGATTGCGGGGGTTCATATTGTTCTGGTTCTCATTGAAGATGAGCTTTCAAAGTCCTGGTATACAGATTTGGGGATGGTCCATCGAGCCACTCGGAAGGGGGGTTTCCGGCATAGGTTGCAGGAAGGAATAACCATACAAGTCATTGTAGGTATCAAGTGGCCAAATGCTTGATGTATGGAAGCTCGGGGGACGATAGAGAGAGGTCGCAAAGTAAGATATAATGAGCAGGAGCAAGCGGGCGAAAGAGGGAAGAAGGGCGATACATCACAGTTTGGGGGTTAAAGTTAGGTGGGTTTTATGTTAAGGTGTTGGGGGAGGAGGGATGACTTTTGCGGAAAGCAGAGAGATTCGCAAGGGTGTTGATGGTTACAGGAGATAAACATGCTGATGTCCCCAAAGGAGGAAAGGGCAACGGAGCAAGTAGAAGCAGAGAGGGCAAGAAATTATCATGGACTGGATGGAACATAAACATCAGCTGCGGGGCATAACGTCGGCAGTAGTTCTTCCGATTTCGGATTCATTTCTTCTTTCTTCAAGTCAAAGCGATCATGGAGGATCACATAATACTGGTATCTGACAGGCATGCATGGTCCACCTTAGCAACTTTCTTGCTTCTTGTAAAACCAAGGAAGCTGCACATATGAGATTATAAGGTAAAACAAATAGGACCATATGAGAGAGAGAGAAAAAAAAAAGACAGCGTCAAGAATCAAAGTGGTTAGCACAAGCGAGAGGGAGACATCGCGCGATTATGTTCTCTGGGAGGAAGCGCATAAGGATTCGGGTGGTAGCAATGTGGCGCGAGATTTGTGCTTAAGGGTAGTCTGATGATAGAACTTTACTCCTGAGGAAGCTGGCTGCGACGAGTCTTCTCGGCCTCGAGGTTCTCGTACAGAAGGTAGAGAGCCTTCTCGTTGGCCTGAGCGCTGCCCATGATGGTGAACATGCGCTCGCCCGTCTCGTCGTGAGGAGCCTTGGCAATAGAGATCCGAGCTCCAGAGCTTCTGCGGATCTCAGTAATCTTGCTTCCGCCCCTGCCAATGATGCATCCAACCATGTCGGCGGGGATGCTGATGTTCTGGGTCTGGATCTCCTCGCCGTCCTCGGTGACAAGAGGGTAGCCGCGGTTGCTGGTATCGGGGTTGGATCGTCTGCTGTAGCTGCCGGACTGGTCGCTGAAGTCGGCACCGTTGCCGGTGCGATTGTAGGGGCGGCTGCTGTAACCATTGCCAGTGTTCTGGTTGCTGGGAGAGCTGCTAGTACCGCCGACCGAGGAGCGAACAGCAGGATTGTACAAGATAGTGCCGGTTCCGCGTTGCCAATCGTCGATAAGGCACTTTCCGATTTCCCAGATAGCCTTCTCGATGCCCTCGGGGGTGCCCTGGACCTCAACGATGCGCTCAGTAGACTGAGGAAGCATTTCCTTCTGCGCAACCATGCGCACGCCGGACGCGTCCTGGATGTGCTTGATCTTGAGACCTTGACGTCCAATGATGGTACCCATCTGGTTGTGGGAGATCAAGAGACGGACGGCTAAAGATATGTTAGCCATTCGATAGACCAAACAATAAACTCAAATGCGCGGGCTCACTTACGGTGGGTGCCATTGTTAGACACGACGCCTCCCATGCCCATCTGCGGGGCGCCCTCGAGCAGACCCTTGGCAACCAAAGCATAGGCCCGAGCAGTGCCGTGCAGGGGACCAGTGACGGTCAAAACGCGATCGTGGACTCCAGGAACAACCTTGCTCACACCAGCCTTCACACCAGTTTCGTCACGCAGATCAGCAACATTCTTGCCGGCTTTACCGATGATAATACCGGCTTCTTTGGAGGAGACGATAGCGCGGAGAGTCAACGTGGACTGGGCGTATTCCTCTTCGGTCTTGGGGATGACTTCGATGTCACCCTCATCCATCATGTCAACGGCGTCAGCCATGTTCTCATCAACCATGGGGTTCTCGTGCAAGTCGGAGGCGTCCATGATGTCAGGAAAGTAGAAGGTCGAGTAAGAGATCGGGGAAAAGGTGGTAATCAAAGGATAGAAGCTCCTGAAGAACTTCACCTGTGGAGTCAGCTTCACAATTCACAGGGAAGAGCGAAGGGATGACCGTTGTTTTCGCAACGATCTGACTGGATAGCGAGGTGACGGGCAAAAACCCGACCTCGCGCCCGACGGATCGAAGGCGGTCGATGGCCTTACCTGAAAAATCAACGAAGATAGAAGAAGGCGACAAAGCGGATATTATCCGAAGAAGAGAAATCGAAGGAGGGGGTGGAGGTGAAGAGGGGTGACGAGATCGATCCTGAGGGGTTTTCGGCGGGCGGGGGAAAAGGTGGAGGGAGGATGGGCGAAACGGGAGGGGGATGAAGGAGGGCGAAAGAACAAAGAGAGGTGGCGGAAAGGAGGAAGAAGGAAGGAGGATAGAAGAATCAGGGGAGAGGAAGAGGGAGGAGATGGAGAGAGAGAGGGAGAAAAGACGGGAGGGGGGGGGGGGGATACGGAAGAGAAGAAGAGGAGAAGTGGTGGTAGCGAGAATAGAGGAAAGGTGGAAGAGGAAGAGAAGAGGAAGAAGGAGGAGGAGGAAGAGGAAGAGGAGGGAGAGAGAAGAGGGAGAGAGAGTAGGAAGACGGAAGAGGCGCAGAAAGGCAGGAGGAGGAAAGAAAGAGCTTTGAGAGAGAATAACTAATGTTCATTAGGCGGGTAGGCAGGCGGCTGGCTGGCTGGCTGGCTAACTGGCAAAGTGACTTTTCGCCTTCAACATTACCTACCACCTTAACTACTACTACCACCACCACCTCCACCTCCACCTTCTCACCCTCGTCTTCCCCCCCTCCTCCTCACTCTTCACCTTCAGTCTTCCCTTACCTTTGGGCGTTTGTTTGTCGTGTCTCCTCAATCCCCAGGTGCTAAGTTGCAAACGTCTCTCGGATGACTCGATGGTGCCACTGCTTGTTTTCGTTTTCACTTGTACTACTCTCGGGACTGTGATTACTACGACTACATTTCCCCTCGTGTACAGTCGGTCAATCGCTTCGGCTTTCTTATGTATTGTCTGTGAGCACTTGACAGCCGATCTCCCGTCCATTGACTGCGAAGCAGACAGTCTATTTGTCGACCTCAAAGATAACCTTCTGTACCTTCATCGCATTAAAGAGCTCATAGGCCTCAACCGCCTGCGAAAGGGGCATAATTTTGTCGGCCATGAACCTAGATCTACTAGTCAGCCAAATCGTTGCAAGGGCAGGGAATGAACAAACGACGCGGCACGTACCCAAGAAGATGCTGGTTCTTCTTCAGAACTTGCAGGGCTTGCTCGGAAACCGAACGCACAGGGCATCGTCCCATGTGGACCGTCAGGTTCTTGCCATACGCCTCACTACCAGTCCATGGAATCTACACACAGATGCCAGTCAGCTTTGCACGAACAGACGAAGGCTACCGGACGACCTACCTCGCCATTGTGCACACCAACACTGCTGATGGTACCGAACGGCCGCAGCAGATCGAATCCGGTCCTCAATGCCGGACTCAAGCCCACGACCTCGATGACCGCGTCTGCGCCGCGCCCGTCCGTCAACTCTTGGACGCGCTTGTCCAGACCTTCCCGGTCGGTCTGGAAATTCCAGGGTTCGGCTCCGAGCGACTTGGCCAACTCAAGTCGCGCGGGAATCGAGTCCACCGCCAGCAAATGCTTAGGCTTGTATTCGAGCGCATTGATCAGAGCACAAAGTCCGACTGGCCCGCAGCCGATGAGGACGACCGTCTGCTCTGCAATCTGCTCTGGGGTGGATGCCTTGAACGCATTGCGCGCCGCAAAGTAACCCGTAGGGAAGATATCGGCCATAAGCACCAGAAGCTTGTCATCAACCCCTTCAGGGGTCTTGACCACTGTGCCGTCCGCATTGGGAATTCTGATCTGTTCCGACAAGTTCAGCCTCTTCGTCGCTGGAAATGGTCTGACCCTCCGCTCTCAGATCTGTAGAATCTACTCACATATTCAGCCTGGGCGCCGTCCAGGGCATCGCATCCCAGTAGAACATTCTGCTCGCATCGCGAAGAGTGTCCCTGAGTGCAGTACCAGCATTTGCCGCTGACCAACCCATGATCAGCATAAAGATCGATTTCCCCCTTAATAGCTAATCCTCGAGACCACCTCATCTGTCCTCCTCTCAAATGTGTTCCGCAGCTCCTCATTCCCTGTCCCCATTAAACCACCACCACCATCACCACCACTACAACCAGAACAACACGAGCAGCACTGGCAACACACAATGGAAGAGAATCACTCACCAAGACGTGGTAAAAGCGCTCACAACCGAATCCCCCTTTTTGACCGAGCGCACATCATCCCCAACCTCAACAACCACTCCGGTAACCTCATGTCCCATTACCACACCTTCCCCACTCGGCTCAATCCCGCGGTAGACATGAAGATCACTAAGTGAGAGCACTCATCAGTTAAAAGCTCAAGATCCTCTCACACTTAAAACAAAGCCCCAAAGCACAAAGCTATACCCCGCGCCCAACCCCATATTAACAGCCCCCCTCCCCTCCCCCCCCCTCAACCCCAGCCTCCAAACACAGAATAAGAAAAAGAAACTCACCTCCCACAAAGCGCCGTATACTTCACCTTAACCACCACATCCCTCGCGTCCTGAACCCGGGGTACCGGCCGCTCCTCCACCGCCACCTTGTAAGGGCCGCGGAAAGCCACCACGCGCATGCTCTGTTGTTGTTGTTGTTGTTGTTCGCTGGACATTTTTTTTGGGTGCCGGTCTGTGAGTTCGAATCTGGTATCTATGTTGCAATTGCTCTCCCGATCGGACGAAAGATTTCTGGTGCCGTGGACTGGGAATGATGCAGAAGAAAAGGTAAAGAGAGAACTGGAAAAGATTTCCCTAACGTCCTTCAAGAAAGCCCGCCCGCTCCGATAGCCGGCGCGGGCGCGGTAGATGCGGTCGCGGGTTGTTGCCCCTCCCCCTCCTCTTGTCGAGGATGCTTGGGTAGGTGGGTCCATTTTTGTACGTAAGGCATTTGGGGGGCGGATGTGATCATGAGGGGTAATGTAGGGTGAGGAGTAGGAAGGTGCAAGGATCAAAGTAGATTTATTTTGCTCTGTGGTGTATCATCAGGGTGTGATTTGCGGTGAGATAGAGGGTTGAGGAGAATGTGTAGTTTAGAGGGGAAGTATATCATTGGAGTCAGTCATATGCTGCGAGTGCGGAGACAGATATATACCATTGCACTAGAATGCCGACGCGGTCTCCCCGGGTCCTCCCTCAACAACCTAGTGCAGATCATGCAGGCGGTAGTACGCTACAAAGCGAGCTTGAAATGCCTACCAAACTTGTCATGATGACTCAAGGTGCGACCGAGGAACAGTAAAGAGGACATTCTATCACGTTCAGACCACATGCAGGTCAAATAACGTAACCCCGTAAGAGCAGCCAAGCTCCGCACATTCGAACTACCAGCTCATGCACCACTTGACTATTCGAGTCATGAAACTGTTTGTTATAAGTGTCGGGCGAAACCCTCAAGGGTGAACTCAACCGCCAAGCCAAGTCAAAGTGTTTTGCTCCATTAGAACGCCGTCGTATCGCTCAAAGAATAACCAAGATAGTGGTAAACAATCGCTCACTGAATGAACCGGTCTTCAGCTTTCAACCCACGCAAACGCAATGGGACCCCCATCACAGAGACATGCACACCGAAAAGGCCAGGCCATGGGTGCATGTGGCTATATCGGTTCAGAGCCTCCGTGGCCACACCGTTTACATAAAGAACCTCAGCACACAACGCACAGGAGCTCCTCCTCTAGAATGAACTTCCCCTCCTTGTATTTCTCGCTCGTCTCGTAGGCCTTGTCGTATTTCCAACCGACCGTCTCCTTGCACTGTCGACAGGCGATATCGCGAACAATATGTCGTCCTGTGGTCATGCTCCGCTCCACGGCCTCGGTCTGGGTAACGTTGACGACGTTGTTGAAGAGGTATGCCTTGCCATGCTGGCCTCGGAAATTCTGCAGGGAAAGAAATAGCATGGTCAGCTGCTGCTGCACTCAAGCAGGGAAAGCAACGCGAGGAGACGGAAAACCTGAACACACATACTCGGCTGATGATGTCGTCGTAGTCCGCCAGGTGGGTTTTGCATTGCTTACACCCAAAGATCTTGTTGGAGGTGAGGTACACGTTGTATATGAGACCCATTGTGTCGTGTCCGTGACTGCCTGCCCACTGCCCCCGGTTCTATCAAGATACTGTAGTGTCACCGATATGAAAAGGTGCAGAATCACGTTCGAGAGAAAATGAAGCCAGAGATGCAAGATGGAAAGTGAACAAGGAGTTTGTTAGTAAATTCTGAGCCTGTGGATTGAGTCCTAGCCCCCCCTATGCAGATACGTTTGGCTGGGTTGTCTTATCGTGAACAAAGGTTAATCTCAGTCGGGGGATGGGTTGGGATTTCGACTACTGTGTCAGGAGACTAGGGCAGAGAGTTCAAAAGGAAGATAATCTCAGGTAAAGTTGCAGGAAGACGAGTGTTTCTCCTGGTCTGGGCGTGGAGTGGTTGTGATGATAAGCAGCTGCGGTGGAAGGACCTCGGGAATAAGCGGAGGTGCAGCCCAGACCAACGGGCTTGATTATGGTTTAGTTGTGACACTTGGCTGATCAGGGAATCCGAGCAAGTGGACGGGAGTGGACTTGGAAACAGAGTCAGTCGATGGATCGATAGATCACTTCTTTTCCTTCCTGCAGCGAGGAACAAATGGGATGAGGGGGGGGGGGGGACAAAGATGAATGAGCCGGGAGGTGGAGGTACCGACTGTACTGTACGTAGTAACTTCAGGCAGCTGCTCCCCGTCGGAGTTGAGGAAACGCCCCCGCATCTGGCCAAGTTTGGGAAGAGACCAGCCCCCGTGACGCAGTGATCGATTCATCTTGTGTATAAGCCTACTAGTCATTCGGAAGTAACTTAGGTCTCTGGCATAATCTCAGCCGCAAATCATGACAGGTACAATACATTTTCTTCAATAGTTTGGCTCATCACCCGACACTGCATTTTACTGATCGATACATGACCCCGCTTTGGATTGAGCTTATCATTGTTATCGCTTTGTAACTGACGATAAGTCAACATTTGCACCTGTACAACGCCACAAGCATATTCCAATTCTAAGCATCATCCGTTCAGCATTGGAAGAAACTAACGTAAAGTAGGTGTACTACTTTAACCGTGAAGCATGCGTCTTCGACATCGAGACAGAAACTGTAGACACGCGCACTCCCCACTCCATGTCTCATGACGTGATCGGTAGAATGCCCGACCTTGCAATCGTAGTCATGCACTCTTGCCCCTGAAGAAAGTTGCGATGTATTACATGTACCTTCAGCTTGCACACAGACCTATCTACATAACAGACGCCATTACAACGGCTGAGCAGCCAATTGCATTGGTCACTATCCACCCTATTTCCAACTATCCTGCGTATTTATACATTCATCGTTGACCGAGCAGAGTCTTATTATTTTCCCAGAACTGCCGGCAGTCGGTGTGACCCCAGTGTTCGGTCCACCACTCGCCGAAGCTATCCTCCACATTTTCGTCGAGTTTGGGCAACCGCTCATCTCGTTTTAATCCACAGAGAGCACAGGAATGTGATGCTTTGAGTGCGCCCCGGTCGGCGCTCAGCGTCATCGCCCGAATGTTCTCCTGAATGATAGGAACTGTTCGATTTCCGGAAGCCTGGATGACAGAGTTGAAAAGTGCCGCCCTGTCACGCCACATGGTGAGCACATCCACAGCCTGTTGTTGCTCTTTGACATCCTCATTCTTGTTGACCGTGCTGAGCTTCATACCCCCAGGCTTGCCTGCCGGGCCAATCCGCATGCTCTGGCTCAGAATCTTGTCTCTTTTCCATCGCATGGTACGGCCCGCAACTACTCGAGCGGCAGTCCTCAGCGTAATCTGAATTGACCACGCTGCACGTTCGACTCTATCTCTCTGCTGCATATCCTTCCTCGCGTCTGTGGCTTCATGTCGGAGTTGCTCGAGCACCTGAGGGAACAGCTCTAACAATACTGATGGCGGTGGTATGTTGGTTGGTCGGACTTGATCTGCCGTAGCTGTGGAGCTGGGGACTGCAAACTTCAAACCGGATTTTGTAGCGCTAGTTGTAGTGTGCAAGTCCTTTGTTCTGCCCAAAGCAGATCCATGCGGTGTCCTCGAAGCGGGTGCCTTTAGGTCCTGAACCTGACTTTGTGCTATAGCTGGCCCGTCGACAAAGTCCCCCCAGTCTTCGAAAGGATCATCTTCAGTAGAAAGTGAAGGTGTCGTACGTAGCGGTTCCTTGCGGATCTTCTGGGTGTTGCCTTGCTGTCGTGTGGCAACGGTCTGTTTACCAGAAACGGACGGCACACTCTGGATCGGTGGTGAGTCTAGAAGATCGAAAGGATCTTGCACCGTGACCGGACGGACAGCGGACAGCGTGATTTTGGGCTTCTGTTCTTCTACAGGCGCTCGTTGAGGAGGCACATCTGCAGTTTCGAACTCGCCCCAATCATCGCTTTCATCGTATGAGGCAGTCTCAAGAGTGGCATCGAAAAGCACGTCGTTACCACTATCATGCTGTACCGGTTCCGACGTAAATGACTTGTCCCAAGATGAGCTTTGCCATTGGGTGCCTGCTGCAACGGGTTGGCTCGCTTGATTCGAAAATGGCGTTGAGGACGTCTCGCCAGAGAAGTCCAAGTCAGGGACTAGAGAAGAAGATTGATGTCTCGCAGGTCGCTGGCTTGCAGAATTCGCAGGCTGGCTGGAATTGGTATTAACACCAAATTCTGCAAACAAGTCCGCGGACATGGATGGCTAACTGTGTGAAGGTTGTCCTGAGGTTGATTCACCGAACGGCTCTCGGGTAATACAGTTGCCACTACTCTGTAGATGGGATGGACTGCTAAACAAAAAGGACAAAAAAGACAAATGCCAACAGAGCAATCAATAGAACAGACCATACAATGATCGCCTCAAAGTAGATATGATCTGCACGTAGTCAGGTCAGTCTTTTGTCACGCTATGTAGTAGTGATCGCACTATACCTGGCGCATAGATAAGGGCGGCGTGGCCGGGACGGAGAGTGAGTGATGTTGCATTTGCACTTGCACCCAAGGAAAATCCTCTTTGGCGGGTCCAACCTCCGCGGCTACGGACAACTGCCCGCAACCTCAACCGCGGACCAGCACTTGTGCCTTTCATGCGCGTCAATCTGCAGCATTTTGTGAACATCAATCTGCGAAGAAGCCATATGGTGAAATGAGGGCAATCGAGGAATCAAGGTACGGCCAATGGCTCACACATGCCCCTCCTGCAAAGGAAATCCCAGCTCAAGAACGGTCAGGCAGCGATGGGATACCCTGTTTTGCGACCATGACACCACCGCCGGCTTTCGGAACGCCCTCAGATTGGAGCAAGACGACAAACTGTGCAACGATGGGCTAAGATCGATCTGTTGGAAGGCATGCGTCTGCTACTGCTATACTGTGATTTAAGTCGCTTACCTTGGGGGTGTAGGCCTTCCTGCTTTTCGACGATCTGGATCGGGCACAGTGGCCGCAGAAGCTATCTGATTCACGAAGCGCCTACGTCGCCTTGAAGGCCCACTTCCTGAAATATATTGACCACCCGGACGACTTGGAGTCGACCGTTGATCCGCTGGCGGATGATGTGGAGGTAGGTACCAGGATACTGTCATGGCCTTTGAGATCGCGGTGAACTAACGCGGTGTTTTTTCCATAGTCCCCATGGCAAACGCTACGGAACGATGAGCAGACAAGGGCGGATATCTCTCAGGATGTGGATCGGTGTTTGCAGGAGAACTTCTTCTTCCGGGAGCCCACCACCAAAGCGAAGATGATCGATATACTATTCATTTATGCGAAACTCAACCCGGACCTAGGCTATCGGCAAGGCATGCATGAGATATTGGCGCCTCTCTTGTGGGTGGTCGACCGGGATGCGATCGAGGCGAACCCACTCGAAGATACCAGAGAAACGAAACCGGATGATGACGCGATGCTTCAACTTCTCGATGCCAACTATGTGGAGCATGATTCGTTCGCGCTGTTCTGCTCAGTGATGCAGAATGTCCGAGTGTACTACGAGCACAATAGGACTCGATCGGCCAATGGTCAGCTGGACGTTATTCCAATTGTGCATCAGTGCCAGCGCCTCCACAATGAACTCCTGGTCACGGCAGATCTCGAGCTTGCGGATCACTTGGAGGCGCTGGAGATTTTACCACAGATCTTTTTGACGTAAGTCATGCATCTATTCGAATGGGGAGCGCAAGGCTGATATGGTGTGAAGTCGCTGGATGCGTCTTCTGTTCGGGCGCGAATTCGCTTTTCAAGACGTCCTTCAAATCTGGGATCTACTCTTTGCAGAAGGACTACGTCCGGAGCTTATTGAATATGTTTGCGTTGCAATGCTGTTGCGGATCCGTTGGCAGCGTGAGAATCCCTTGCCGTCGCGAAATGATACAACGATGCTCTTTACTCCCAATGGGTGATGAGTGCTGCGAGTCCATGTGCTAATAGTTACCAGTACTGGGTGCTGATTCCTCAAGCGCTTTGAGTATCCTACTGCGGTATCCAGCCCCCGACCCTCATTCACCATTGACCTTTGTCTACGATGGAATATATCTGGAACAAAACCCCACCCCGGAGAGAGGTCTGTTCATCATCTCGAAGTATTCCGGTAGACCACCGGATCTGTCGAGAGGACTTGGACAACCAAGTGCCAAACCCTCGAAAGGGAAGTTTCGCCTGCGAAGTGCATCTAGGGATCTGAGTGAGGTCAGCTCTCCTTCCAGGTCACCCGCTAGAAATAGCCCGAAGAGCCTCGAAGCGCTGTTCCAGGACGTATCGGAGGGTATTCAGCGCCGAACCGAGGCCTGGGGAGTCGCCAAAGCCGTTCGAGGGGCAGTGAGCGAAGCGAAACGAAATATGCAGTCTATCCAGTCGGAACATCAGCATCGCGGGACACGGTACGAGAGCCAAAGCCAAGGACTGGGCACTCCCTGGGATCGTGCATCCGACGATACATCCAAGTTGAAAGCGAAGATCGACGAACTTCAGGGGCGGAATAGGGAACTCGCCAAGATGCTAAATCTTGCGCTGAAGGACATACGCTCTCATGTGAACAAAGCTGAGAATACGGGCAGCAGTGACAAGGACACTTTGGAGCATGCTCTTGATAAGGTTCAAAGCATCCAAAGCTGTCTGGAAAACCACAACCTCCCATTAAGCGCTGCCGATCAATCCCCGAGCGAGCATAGTAATGCCGAATCCGAGACGCCCCCTGAAGCTGCTGAAGCTCCCAGTGACAGCGCCAAAATTGCAAACGATGGGGCAGATCGCGCCTCCACTTTTACCCACCGGACCAGCACATCTGCCGAGTCACCCAGATCTCCCATTGGCGTTGGGACGAAGGTGAACCGCAGTACCGCCACCAGCCCACAATTTCCCACTTCCATGCCCCTCCGGCATGTATCTCGGCCATCGTTGGCAGACTCCGAATTCTCCTGGATGCTCGGCGGCAAGCGACATCTTTCGAGCTTTGTCAGCCCGGCATCCGTACTTCCGGAGCAGACTCGTCATGGCGAAGGTCGCCCGCGGTCTAAGCCAGCTTCCCTCTTTGGCAATGGGGACGAAGAGCATGGCAAACCCGGCGCCGAGGTCGAGTCAGATGGTCTGGCCCTGCGAAGCCTCCGTGGACCTAAACCATGAAAGTCCCGACGGGGCACGCGGCAATTTAGTCCGGTGTCTTATTAAGCAATGGTCATTTAGCGGTGAACTATCAAGTCTGTAATGGCTTATTACTTTTTCTTCCTCATAAATTCTCACTATAAGAGGAGGATGTGGGATGTGGGATGTGGGATCGACATGTTGTTTGGGCCTTGCGCACGTATAGAGTGGTTCGGAAAGTGTTTCGCCACATTGAAAACAATCAGCTATGCATTGAGCATGAGCCTTGCTGCTTGCTGCTGGGGCAAGATCTGGCTCGACTGACATACCAGCTGGGTGACATGGCTAGATTACTCTGCACTCAGGTACAGTATCTGACGTATCTGACTTGGATCAGTGGTTGTTACGAATCGACCCCAAGGCATTTGTCCATTCTTGAGTCCTGAAGCTCAGGAAGAAACTCGTACTCATAGCTGCGAGAAGGACACAAGAGAATGCAGCAATCTTAGAACAGCAAATGCGAGCTGGGATGGACCATGCCCAGTGACGCTGGTGGATCTGCAATTTCCAGCCTGGTGGCCCAATCAATCTCGATTTCGGATAGTTTGGTGGTGATCTACAGACACTAGACCAGACTACAGCTGAGAGAGTCTGAGAGTCTGAGTATCCATGGGCCATGGAGGGGACGGCCAATTCGGTTAGTCAGCCAAGCCTCCCCAAGCATTTTACATCTTTTCAGAGTCGGCTTTGAGATGGATGGGTGAAATGAATGGGCATATTGAGGAGGGGGTGGAGGGGCATCGTGCGATCACAGATCGCTGGGCCATTGTTGATTGATTTATTGCTATTCTCCTTCAGTGAACTTGCAACTACTCAGTAATCCGAATTACATCACCATCAGCAGCATGAAGCTTGAGCATTGTCTTTTCCTTAGCCGTAATGGGTTCAAGAAAGGGGAAGGAGGGGGGCGTCTCAATTGAGAGGGGCTGCATTAGCGTATCGGTAGAACCCATGGAGGGTCGCCATGCGCCCATGATGGAGAGGGACTGTTTAGTTTCTTATGAGTAGAAACCAGCTGAAAGTACGGAGTTCGTAGGAGAGGGGCGACCGTGCCATATGATTACCGCCCAACTTGTCCCCTCCTTGTAATTTATCCGCATTCAATGGCCTTGTTTTCGTCTTTTCAGCTTCATTGCAGGTTGAGGAGGCCAACTACTTGGGTAAGTAAGCTATATGCGGGTCTGTATCGAGCCATAGTCCATCCTCTCGTGTTTCAAGGCCACAAAAGGACCAAATCGGGTGGTTTCAGCGGAAATGGAAATCTAAACAATTTCCTTAAATTGGTGGGCAGTAAGAGGATTAATTACCCCCCAGGAAAAAAGAGCACAGAAGTCAAAAGAACCGGAAATGGAATGAGTCTTCTGCCTTCCCCGGACGTCATTCATCATTCCTCCATGTATGTACTCATAGACACCGACTGCATCGTCAACCACCAGTGGACTAAATTATCTTAACAACAATAGCTTCAATTCAAGCCAGCCAGCCAGCCAGCAAGCTGTATCTCTTGTCTCCACTATTATATTACCCACCTTTTTCTCTCTCTTCTCTCTTTTCTTCTTCTTTCCTTCGCTTTTCCCTAATCCACTCACTGCACCTCCCTCACTTTATGGGGGCATAGTTATAGTATCGTTAGTTTCTTCTCCCGTCCTTCTTCCAAATTCCCTTTTTCCTTCAAATCTGCCTCTGCCTCTCCGAAGAACCCGCAATTTGGGGCGTGACTATTTCCTTTCCGTCCCTCGGCTGGCTGGCGGTACCCATTAACTTAGGATTCTTCCTGCGTTTCCACTCACTCACTCACTCAAGAGGTTCACCTCCTGAAGCGCCATAGGCCATTCATTGGCCTTCTTTTCTACCTTAACGAAGTACAAACCACCACTACTACCACCACCACCGAGACAAACCGACATACTTACATCCTTCCTCCCCTTCCACGAGCACTTCTCTTCTCTTCCCCTTCCCCCTCCCCTTCCCCTCCCCCTCCTCTCCCCCTCTCTTTTCTCTCATACTCTTCTCTTCCCCCGCGTGCACGCCCTCGTTCGCCGCCCTCGTTCGCAGGTGTAGGGTACCTGTGACCTCACGAGGCAGCTGCCCTCTTGTTCTTCCGCCCGCAGTCCGCTGACAATTTTTCCTGACCTCCTCACCTTCCTTCTAAACAACCCCTTACCAATTCATTCTACTGCAGCAACAACTGATTGAATTGCTGCATACTCCCTTCGTCTCATTGCACTCAAGGCGTGGACGGGAGGAGGTCTCTTCAATCATCCTGTTCAAAAAAAAAAATCTATTGTCCCTCGCAGTAACACGTCAAACTTCCAACGCACCCTCCACCCACCCCCCCGTCTGCAGGACAACCCGCGCAAGAAAAATTTCCTATCAATTCACCTCTCCCTCCCCTACAACTCACCCCTCCCTCCTCCTCCTCCTCCTTCTCCTACCCACCTCCCTGATCTCGCCGAAAAGAGAACAATCTTCCATGTTTCACATGTTGTGATCCCATGTAGCAATAAACAACATTGTTCTTCCCACCCTAGTTCTCTATTCGTTATTCCTTCCAGCTGCGCCGGGTTGAACCGCTTGTTATCAATCGGTCCGATCGGTGCTGTTTCCTCCACAATTGTCACCATCTTGGGGAAATATGGGTTCTTCGTCCTACGATCTTGATGGTCAGTCTCCCAGGTCCCAGGTTTCTCCACGCTTCCCCATCCTCTTCTTGTCCCCTTTCCTTTACCTAGCATTGTGAGCTTTCCTGCCTGCCCACTTCGGTTGTATTCGCATCGGCATGTGAAAGTTCCTGGTTCCGAGAAGCGTATGTGGTAGGTGTATACGAACGGCGACTGTCGACCCCAAAAGCGCCCAGCCCCGAGCTCCAAATCGGCAGTGATTCTCGAAGCGAAGTGTGAATGCGCCAACAAACAAAAGAATGCCAAGCGACTTTCTGGCCAGTCATTAAGACTCCCATATCGGAACGACCGACACTGCCGCTCATTATCCACATTTTTCGTTATGCATCTCGGAACAATTCAGCCACTTCATTCTCCGTCCTGGGATCAATGCTTCTGAATGGGTAGACAACGACTCAACCAGAGATAAGGAGGAGGCAGGGAAGCAAAGACTAGAGAAGGGACTCAGAAAGTGAAAGACATGCAGCTAACCTCGCGCTGAGGATTTCTAGATGATCCAAGTCCATTATCGTCTCCGTTGGGACCCCTTTCACAGTCGCCCCAGTCGGATCACTTCATCAGACGCCTCTCGACCCATACCGATGATTCAATGAGATACTCCGCGGAGAGTGTCTCGTCCAACTTCGACCATCTCTCGAGGTAGGCGACCGACCCTTGCATTGTCCGGCAGCAGCTTTCTGCATTAGTGCGAATCCGCCGATAGGGACTAAAAAGAGATTTCAAATTTCCCTTCACAGATCTTCTCTGCTGGATCATGAACATGGACTTGGCCCATCAGGTCTAGATCGCATACGCCAACAGCCTTCATCGCGAGCCTTCACCCTCCCGAACATTTCCGCCTCGTCGCTTGGCCCAGTGGCTTCGCGCAGTCATTCACCTTCCCCGCGTTCCGCCTCCTCATCCCGAGCTCATCCCACTCGCCTTTTTGCCAGTGACGATATTGAGACGTTGGAGGACCTCCATCGCTTCCCTTGCGAGTCACTGCATTCGTTCTCGTTCGCTCAGAAATCAGAGGAATTGCTTCACAACCGGCATAATATCTTGAAGAGGTCGATCGATTTCATGCGCGACCGCTTCGGCTGGGCTACCGGCAACAGCCCTGCATTGGCTGCGGTCCAAGGCCGCGCTGGCGGTGATTCGGATACGCAGAGCGTGGTGGATATTTCGACAAGAACGAGCGTATCAGCCAAGGAAGACCGATATCACTTCGCAGGTCTGACGCGTGGTCCGCAAACCGGCCCTGCTAATGTGGATAGTGATAACATCTTTGAGAGAGCGTTTACAGAACCTCAACTCGCAGCCGGCAGGTTTGGAGAGATACCTGCGGAATATGGCTCGATGGGGGCTCAATTGCGCTACTCAGGGCAAGGGGCGGATGTCCTGAGATCGCAGCAGGAGGACGAGATAAGGTCACACCCTTCATCCAGGCGCGTAAGCATTAAAAAACGTACTAACACCGAAATCGGTTCTACCGCTATCCCGGGCAAGCTGATGGAGACTCTAGCACCCTACACAACCGCCGAACCCTTTTCTCCAACCAGCTCGTCCACTTTTGGATACGGATTTCCCGTGCCTGTGCTACATACTCACAGCAGCAAGTGGTCCCCAGCATCGCAGGCCGTGTTCCGCACCGAATCGCAGGAGCCGTGGACTATCTTGGCAGCGAATGATATCTCGTGTCTCATATTCGGTGTCACCCAAGGGGAACTCCGCAAACTAAGCATACTGGAGGTCGTACAAGAAGACCGGCAGGATTGGATTGAATCCAAATTACGGGACCCTTGTACTGAAGCGGCGGCAAAGCTCAAATGTTCGCCGGAACGAACGCGGTCCAAGCCCACGAATACCAAGTCAATGGGAATGGGCAACGGTGTGACCGCACAACTGCTGAGTAAACCGCCTTCTCGGGCAAGGCCTCCCCGAAGAGCGCAGACCGACGACGGCTATGGCTCCAGCACGAGACAGTTGAATCATCCTCCGACCAAATCCCGCGGGGTGCTTCTTTGTGGGGATGTTGTGCCTATCAAGAAGCGCAACGGCAAAACAGGATCCGCCAGCATCTGGGTGATGGAGAAACGAGGGGGCTTGATTTGGGTTATTGAGGAGATTCAAGAGGATGTTGTGACCGTCACTTGCAACGAGTCTTGGGATATCGTGAAGGTCGATGGTGATGTGGACAAGATCTGGGGTCACGGTGCGGTGAAGCCTGGAGACCGGATCACGGAACTCCTGCCTCGCCTTCCTGAGGACTGTCTGGCTGGCTCCATGCGCACAGGCCTCACGAAAGTGGCTGAGACCAAATACTTCGCTTCTCGAACAACAGCCGGCATCTGTATTCCCACCATTGTTACCAAAGTAGACGGAAACCGATCTCTTCGGATATCGAGCTTTCCTCATGTTGCTGGCATGATGGTCCTATCATCGTCGACTCTGAAAATTGTCAGCTCAAATTCCGTGTTCTCCGCAGCACTCTTTGGTCATGAGCGGCCTGAGGGCCTGCACATCAACGACTTGATACCTGGTTTCGATGACTTGTTGAACGTGCTTGTCGAGGAGGAACGGGTTCCTCTCGTGGACGGCATCGTGATTCCTGAACCCAGTTTCCGCAGAGCGCGAACCTTGTCCATCCTCCGGGACGGCGGAAAAGCTCATGTTGTTTCCGTTCTACTAGAACCATCTGGACTTGCAGCCACCCATCGCGACGGGTCTTCAATAGCGGTCGACGTCCAATTGCGGGTGGCTAAGAGCGGTACCATCTTCACCAAGCCGCGGAAAGAATCCATTGAGGAGGTCAATGAGTCAGATTCCGAGCACGACGCTCCCATCGCAGTCACCGAACTCGTGTATGCTTTGTGGGTGACGTATTCGCGTCACATCCACTCGGCAGCCCCGAGGTCCAACATCCCATCTCCCCTCGAATCGGTGCCGTCTGGGGCTGAGAGCCCTACGGCAGTCCTTGTGTCAGGCACGCCAACGCCGATATCGAGCCCGCATCCTTATATAAATGAACAGACGTCGGTGGAGAGCCAGATACCCACGTCTACTCTGAGCCAGCAGCTGAGTGAAGCTGCTTCCCAGCCATTGACGGACAAGCCTGTTCAGCCGGTGCCCGAAGTGAGGCCGTCAAGCGCGAAGGAAACACCGAAGAAACGAACCATTGCTGATTATACTATCTTGGAGGAGATGGGCCAAGGAGCCTACGGAGAAGTCAAACTTGCCCGCCTGAAGAAAATCCCCACGAAGAAAGTTGTCTTGAAGTTTGTCACCAAGAAGCGGATCCTTGTTGATACATGGACTCGGGACCGTCGTCTGGGAACTGTTCCGCTAGAGATTCACGTCTTGGACTTTCTTCGGCGAGACGGGTTGAAGCACCCCAATATTGTGGAAATGGAAGGTTTCTTCGAGGACGACATCAACTATTATATCGAGATGACACCGCACGGTCTGCCCGGCATGGATCTGTTTGACTACATCGAGTTGAAGGTCAACATGGATGAGTCCGAGTGCCAGAATATCTTTCGACAGGTCGTGTCTGCCATTCATCATCTGCATACCAAAGCCCTTGTGGTTCATCGTGATATCAAGGATGAGAATGTCATCTTGGACGGTGAGGGGCGGATCAAGCTGATTGACTTCGGAAGTGCTGCTTATATCAAGAACGGGCCTTTCGATGTCTTTGTAGGCACCATTGGTAGGTTTTATCATCCACACCGCCCCCTTGACTTCGACTTTCTGACACTATTGCAGATTATGCAGCTCCTGAAGTCCTTCAGGGCAAATCCTATCGCGGGAAAGAGCAAGACATCTGGGCTCTCGGTATTCTCCTGTATACCATCGTATACAAGGAAAACCCCTTCTACAATGTCGACGAAATCCTTGACCACCCCCTTCGGGTTCCGTTCTTGCCCTTCTCCGAGGACTGCATCGACCTGATTCGAAGAATGCTTGACCGAGATGTCGACAATCGGTTGACTGTCAGCGAAGTCTTAGAGCATCCGTGGATGGCGGACAATTGAGCGACGCACGGGGCAATTGGTCTTTTCTCTGAAGCAGCGATACATAACGAATTATCATCTTGGATTATACATACAGCAACTGTTTCCATTCTACTTTCGCCTTCATCCTACATGAATATTGGAATGCGACGACCTCGATTATTGTGACTCGGAACGATTGGAGGCGCAGAGGACCCGATAACTCAGCCGCTCTGAAACATAAAAGCATCTTTACACTAGTGGATGGTGCGTGTCCCACGCGAGGAGCAACCGCGAATGGACCTTTGATACATGGCATCTTTGGATGTTGTGGATCACAGTGCTTGAAGTGGTCAGCGAGGGAGATTATGTATAGAAGGTTTAAGCGGCTGAGATACCCCGTCGTCACTATCGCTATGACCCCCCTCACACCATCATCATCATCATCATCATCATCATCATCATATAATTCTTCTCTTTGGCTAGAAAGAAGATACTCTTTGTTTTACTTTGCAATTTGGTTTGGACCGGAATCGATAGCTATTTTGCGTGCATGGCCTGGGAACAAAACATGGGCAGAGAACAGCATGTATTGGATGAACTTGTTTGATTTTATTTTTTCTTGTGTTGATACCCATCGTCGCAGCGGCATTGGATTTTTCATATGCTGTGGAACAGAACCGGGTAAATTAAGCTTCATGCAATTGGGTTACAGTCATGATAGACAGTGAGACAGACAAATACACAGAGATGAGACATGATACTAGTCATTGAGGCAGGCACTCGGTCACCCCGGTCGCATTGACGCTTTTCCTCTTTGCTTCTTAACATTTAATGTAGTGGGTATCTGTTCGAGACCAAAGTGCGGGGGATAGAAGCGGGGAACTTGGGGGCTAGTCCCGGGTATATTGATTGACTTAAACGGTGGCACTTGGCCAAGTTGGTTAGGGTGGTTATTAGACTAGCCTAGAGTTTGGCTGGTTGCCATGTGGGAGACAATGCACCTCAGGGCTTTCTTTCCAATCGAATCCATGGCATGCCTCCACGAATCATACCTACTAGGTACTTAGCAAGTAAGCACTTGGCGTAAAGACGAAGGACAAATGTGCCACTGCAGGAATGTTTTCTTTTTTTTTTTTTTTTTTTTTTTTTTCCTCTGAACAACAAACCCATTCCATGTCTTCCACCTCTTCTGATGATGAATCATATCTGAAAATCGAGATGACTGAGCGGCCTTGTTTTACCCATGAGTTATGTCTACGAAGTACATACATACATACGTACGTACGTACGTACGTACTGTACGAGGACATGTAGACAAGGCACCCCACAATCCGCGACGAGTAACAAAGAGGCAGCCAATTGAAAAATCCCGTGGACGTAAAACGCAAAAGTGTCCGCCTGGTGGTGGGTGGCGTTGTTTTACAATACAAACTGGAACAGGAGGAGGAGGCAAACAATCACTGGAACATTCATTCCGGGTTCCCCACGCCCCTCTCTGCTCCCCCCCTCTCCCTCTCTCTTCCGGGTTTCCTTCCCCCTTCCACTAGGTCCGGTGGAACTTCCCCTTCCCTTTTCTCCTGGTTTGTCGGAGGGAGGCCTGGTACTCGTATGAGTGACAGGTACTTCTTCCGTATAGGGTCGAGGGTCGAACTTTGTCCTGCCACTAGTTAGTTGGTTTTGGTTTCCAACTACGAGTACGAGTACTGTGCCGTACAACCTACACTACGGAGTCGGAAGTGTCGTGCGGGTCCTCCGTTTACTGTGGCAAGCTATTGCACTATTCAATATCTTGGATAGAAATCTGACAGCACAATCTTCAGGTTCAAGGTCTCGCTAGGGAGCTGTAGGGAAGAAGTTAAGGCCCTCATTTCCGATGGTGGATACAGTACTCGTAGAAGGCCAGGAACCTTGAACTGCCTGGGATTGTGGGCAACAGATCCATCCGATTTCCCGGCTCAGTCGGAGTTCTCCGGAGCCGTATATGAGTAAGTTACGGCTTTTTTTTTTGCCTCCTTGAGATGTGGGGGACGATTGCAAGTGGTGGTCCACTGGGGTGGGTTATGTTCTGATTGGATTGTAGTGGAGTGAGAGTTGTTCCTGGCGTTGTTGGTTGGGAAGACTGGATACTTTTGAAAGTAAGAGGCGATTATGGCCGTGTTTGGGGAGGGGTGGTGGTGGTAATGGTGTTGAGGAAGGAGGAGGTTTATAATGTCAATCCAGCAATTCATCAATGCAGTGGCTGGTGTATGCATCAGAATGGAGTATTTACATACACTAGGTGGGTGCAGTGGGAGAATTGTTAAGAATAGCCCAGTCTACAGTACAGACGGACTGTTACCCAGTCACTCCACTTGGTCGAGATGCTGAGTACCTAGTAGTAAGTAGTCTAGCGGACAAGGAACAGGGAATAGACTCCTCCACTATCAACCATTGAAGGCTGTTTGTTTTTGTCGGTGTCTGGCCTGGACTGGACGAGTGGACTTCTCTGGAGGAGACGAGGCATTTGTTTCGTTCTCTGTACCATACGGCCCGGGTACTGTAATTGTTCGGTTTGATGTGATCCGACAGACACATCGCTGAGATCGACATTTACTTGCTCTGGGCTGTGAGGGTTAATCCCATGGCCTATGTACCAGATGACCATCGCTGCTCTAGTTTCGCGTTATCGTTATCTTCTTGTCTATCTTGAGTTTGGTTTTCCCAGTGCTTCGATCAAGTCATGCCTGGCCACCTCCTGATCGCAGAACTGCCATCTGACCCGGTAATAACCGTGACGGAACTGTCACAGACCAAGTGGGGCGAGCTAATCGCTAATCGATAAGTGAGAATCTGTCCATGCCCACCGATAAGAGAGACACTCCCCTCTCACACACACCTGTGGGGTAGTCTAAGAATGGAGGGTATGGCATTGTCGACCAGTGCTATTCGCAGCCTTATCATTGTTCGACTCTTTTCTGTTTGTCACAGCCACTCCATCTGAGCAATTAATTATATTTCGCTCAACATTAAAACCCCCGTGTGGCTCGCCCTTTCGGTCGGCTGACCCGACCTTACGTGATTCTATAGTCGGGATTGCCAATCTCTCCCTTCCCTTCTCTTTCTCTCCTGTCGTCCTGTCACTAAGATACTACGAACGAACAGTAATTTACTGCTCACTACTTTTCCTCCTCGTACTTACGAGTATATCCTACAAGATCCGCTCAAATCTTCTCCAGTATCTCCTCTCCCTTCCTTTCCTCCCCTCCCCTCTCCGCCCTCCTCGTTGTTCGGTCATCCTACAAACTTCGCTTCCGTCAACTCAACGCAAGACTTACCGGTTGCGTTGACACTTACTTTGCTCCTGGTTTATTGTGGATGATGCTTGCGTGACGTCTACAACTGAACTCAACTGGTCGCTCTCCTGACTTCTCGGTCGTAGGCCAGTCTGGTGCTGGCTCTTGCTTCGGGTCCCCGGGTTACGCGGTCGCCGAGTCCCATGGTACAATCGGAACGACAATCTTCAACTCGACAACCCACCTCAACCCTACCGTCGCTTGCTGCTGCTGCTCGGCTGCTCAGGTGATTCCATCCTCCTTTCATCTGTTTTTTCTTTCTCAACCCGAGCAATCAGCCTGTCCATCCGCAGGAACGGAGGTTTGGCGTTGTTTTCTGCTTCTCGGGGTGTGTCTACCATCGCGGTTATCGCCAATCGATAAGATAACCTTCTCACGGACCGGCTGGCTGGAGTCATTATGAGCAATTAGGATACCTTCTTCGTTGTGGCAACTTGCGTTCTGGCGCTGAAAAGCATTCGGTCGCATTGATCGTTCATACCGTTGCGTCACCACATTGATCTAGGACCTCCCTGAACTGAGGACGAGAAGTATCCCGCCAATAGCCCTGAAGTGCATTGCCATCATGGCTACCGCAATCTCCGACGACATCAGACCGACGTCTGAGAGCCCTTCGCCTTCGAGTCCGGCTTCGTCGACGGGTCAGATCCCACTGGAACAACCACCGAAACTCAAGGGTCGTCACAAATTGCTTCAAAACCTCCAACGCATCTCTTCCAGCCCGAGTCTGACCAGGCGCGGCCGATCCGCTTCCACGGGATATCGCCGCGATGGAAAGGCCTCCCTGTCCTGCATTTCCCTTTCGCAAACGGCCTATTCACCTTGCTTGGGCAATGGGAGCTCGTCACAACTGTACGGGGGGCTTAACGCTCAGTCTGTGACTCCCGGGGCCACGGCCCCTCAGACCGACTATTTCGATGGTGCTGCTCGCATCCGGATGGTTCCCTCTGAATCGCCCCATGCCTCGCAATCGAAGACGATCCCGCTTCCTCAAGAGCTGCGACCAGGTTCCCGTGGATTGGCGATTAGCATGGCAGACGTCACGAGTGAAGCCACCGTCGCGCAGCCGTCACCGAAACCGAAGGTTTTCGATTTTTGGGGCAGTCTGCCGGACGAACTCAAGATGCGTGTTTTCCGGTACCTCACACCAAGGGAGATTGTCCGCTGTTCCGCGGTCTCCAAGGCGTGGAATAAAATGTGCTACGATGGGCAGCTCTGGAGGGAAGTCGACACCACGGACTATTACCGCGACATTCCTAGCGAAGGTCTCGTGAAACTGATGACTTCTGGAGGTCCATTCGTTCGAGATTTGAACTTGCGAGGCTGTGTTCAGCTCAAGGATCAATGGCGGACGGATGGTGAACGAATTACTGATCTCTGTCGAAATGTGGTCAATTTCTCACTGGAAGGATGCCGTGTTGACAAGTCCACGATCCACTATTTCTTGCTGCGGAACCCCCGTCTCGAATACATCAACCTGTCAGGGCTACTCACCGTCACCAATTCCGCTATGAAGATCATTGCCCAATCATGCCCGCAGTTGGAGATCCTCAACGTCTCGTGGTGCACTGGTGTTGATACTTCTGGGCTGAAGAAAGTGGTGGCTGCCTGTCCGAAGTTGAGGGATTTGCGAGCCAGCGAGATCCGTGGTTTCGACGATGTCGAGTTTGCTGCGGAGCTATTCGAGCGAAACACCTTGGATCGTTTGATAATCAGCCGGACCGACCTTACCGACGAGAGTTTGAAGGCTCTTATGCATGGCATTGACCCGGAAATCGACGTGTTGCTGGATCGCCCGATCGTCCCTCCTCGACGACTCAAGCATCTGGATATACACCAATGTCCTGATCTCACCGACCAGGGTGTGAAGAGTCTTGCCTGGAACGTGCCCAACTTGCAGGGACTGCAGCTCTCACACTGCTCCGAGCTCACTGATGACTCTGTTATCCCTATCATTCAAACAACCCCTTGTCTCACTCATCTTGAACTCGAAGAGCTGACTCGGCTCTCCAACCATACTCTTATCGAGCTTGCCAAGTCGCCATGCGCTCCTCGTCTCGAGCATCTCAACATCAGCTACTGCGAACTTCTTGGTGACCAGGGAACCTTGCCAGTTATGAAGAACTGCCTCTCTCTTCGCTCCGTTGAGATGGACAACACCCGGGTGTCTGATCTGACTTTGATGGAAGCCAGTCTTCGCGTCCGCAAGAGGGGCTACGGCGAGAATCTACCTCAGATCGGTCTGCGATTAGTTGTGTTCGATTGCGGCAATGTGACTTGGGCCGGTGTCAAGGAGGTGCTCTCAAGCAATGCCTTCATCCCAAGGTCTCGCAAACCCCCTCAGACTATCTCGGTTGTGGCACAGACGGTCGAGCAAGGCCAGGTGCCCGGATCCCCAGCCATGATCACATCTTCCATCACGCCTCCGCCCCCTCCTCCTGTGTATCCGAATGAGATCATCCACCTCAAGTGTTTCTACGGCTGGCAGATGACCGTGAATGAACACAACAAACGAGTTCTCCGCGGTGATCTTGCAGCAGCGAACCGACTCGATCGTAAATGGGCCGAATACATGATAGCGACTGAAGAGGCGGGGACCGGCGGCTCTGGCACGCGCAGGCGACGACGCAGAGCCCGCGAGGCGGAAAGAATCTACAATGAAGTCGACGAGGAGACCGCCGCGTATGGGGTTGGAGGCATTTCAGCTCTGGGAGCCGGACGTCGTCGCCACACGGACAGCAACACTGGCTGCACAATCATGTGAAAAGCTCGCTTGCATACACTTCTTTAATTCTGGTCACTCGATTTGCAACCGTGCAATCTTCAGCGACCCCACGCCCCCGAGGGGTTTTACTTTCTCTCATAGGTTCTGGTAACCTTTTGTTCACGGTGCGTGCCATCATTTGAGCGTCCTTGTGTCCAAAACGGAGAATCGGGTAGCAGGACATTGGTCATGCTAGGGCAGCTGCAAGTATCTTTTGCGTCGGGCGAGCATGCTGCTAGATACACAAACTTGATGGGCTAGTACCAACCGTTTTGCACCAGATGGACCTGGCGGGGTCATTTTGTTGGCGTTGCTTTTTTTGCCCTTTTACCTTCTTCACTGGTGTTGTGTTCCCTTTGCGCTGGATTTGGCGTTCTTGTCTCGGGAGTTAGAACTGGTGTTGCAAATGTTGTACTGCGTCGCACACTGGCTTCCTCTCGATTGTTGATAGACGGAGGATGGAGACTACTGGAGTTGGACTGGGATGGTTTATTTGTCGGTCATTTAGCAAGGAAGATTGGACATTTTCTCGGTCTCGAATTGATCGTATATTCGTATGATTCTCTCTGGATAGCAATGTAGGGCATAATATCAATAGGTTGGCATTGCATAGGTGGTTTTGGGTGTTCTTGGTGTTGAGACATGCCTGGTCCGTGGGAAGCTCAGCCGAAGGTATACGAACTACAGTGGAACAGGTTATGCCCCCCACCCCTCTTTAGTCAGTGATGCGAATTCACAACAGGTATATTTTGGGTATCGTATGATGACGAGGTATGAAACAGTTCGTCAAGGATGAGATACTAAGAAGTAGCCCAAGAAAGAATGAAGAGGAAAAAAGACCAACACCTGCAAATGCATCATCACGCTGACAAGAAGAAGCCACTCGATCACATCTCAAAGAATCCGCCGTCACTCTCATTCCCATCATCATTATTGCCGGCATCCGGCATCTCGTAGTCATCCTGCTTCGCGTGGGACTTCTTCTTGTTCTGTTTCCGATCATCGCCCTTGGCCCTTGCGCTCGACTTGTGGGCATCGGGATGCTCGCGCGCGCTCTTCTTGCTCTTCGTCGACTTGTCCGCCGCCGCTCCGGTGTCTGTCGACTTGGCCTTTCTCTCCTTGTTGTTCAGCTTGCCGTCCCGGAGCAGATCCAGGGTGCCGTCCTTCATGCACTGCTCGACCGTCTTCCACATAGCGGACGACTTCTCCGCTGCTCCCGCCGCATCCTCCTGGTCCTGGTCCTGCTCAGCCTCAACATCCCCCTGCCCACCCTCCGCCTTCTTATTCTTCTTCACATCCGCATACAGAGCAATATACTTCTCCGTGAGCGGGTAGTAAATCGTGTAGTTCAGGTTCACGCGCGCCACGTGCAGCTTCTTGGCCACGGAGGCGAGCTTCTTCTCCCTGGTCGCGGCATCCATGTCGGGTGTGTTCTCGGTGAGCTCCTTCTCCTTGCGGGTGAGGCGGGCGATCTCTTTGGTGGCGGTCTTGCGTTCTACCCACCGAAAATCAAAGAAATTAGCTTCTTTTTCGTTGTCTTCTTCTTCTCTTCCCGGCATTCACGCAACGCAACCAGATTCCCGGTGGGGGGGGGGGGGGGGGGGGGGGGGGGGGGAAAAAAAAAAATTTTTTTTTTTTTTTTTTTTTTTTTTTTTTTTTTTTTTTTTTTTTTTTTTAAAATGATACTTCTTGATCAGCTTCGACCGCTCGCGACTCTGCATCTCTTCCTCAAGGTCGCGCTCGTAGCCCAGCAGGGCGCGCTCCTGGGTAACGCGCACGTCGGCTGGGAGGTCGGGCTTGGCGAGGAGGCGCTTGGCGGCGCGGATGCGTTTCTTGAGGTCGTTCACGGAGGTGAAGTCGGGGTTCTTCTTGAGGAAGACCTTCTTGCGGGAGTGGTGGCCGTGGCCGCGTTCTTCGAGGTCATCGCCGCCGCCGCCGTTGTCGCTGTGTTTGCGTTTGCTGGGGCGGGGTTGGTATTCGCGGGGCATTTTGAAGGAGTTTCTTCGGTTTGGCTTTGGCTTTGAGTGTGAAGGCGAGGCGGAGGCGTTTGGAGAATGGCTGGTTAATGGAAGTCGATATAACCTGCCCGCTCAGCTGAGAAAAAAAATTACTCTATCGGGCGATTGATTTGATAGTATGCCCGGATCATTCGTCGGACCGGAAAGGCATGCTCCGCAGCCAATCAGACGGCGTCTAGTGCCATGACGCACCCATCGATTAATCCAATCCAATCCATGGGCTGGAACTACTCGGACTAAACTGAGCTATCGAGTGACAGATCGATCCATGATACAGACAGTACTTCCAGTTGCATCGCTACCTTACATTTCTTACAACTGCTCCTCAGCTTGCCTGCAGATTGTCCGGTAGGCTCGCGCATTGCTGTCTCTGGTGCAAGCAGGATTGTCGGGCAGATTCACACTCTCCACTCCTCATGGGCTACTACATCTAGACCCCTGGCCTTCACCTCCAACCTTCCTTGTGGACGGAAGTTGCTTCGCGGGGTGTGGATTGGCGTGGACGCATCAGATTTGGCTTGCCGGTTTCAGCAAGATTGCTACACACTTCGCAATACTAACCCACCCGGGGGGTTCAAAAGCAGTCTAGATCATCGGTGATCAGTCTCATCGGCAACCCGGACTTTCGTCGGTTCAGCTCGCTGTCTAGCAGCCCCGCGCCTGCTCTTCCAAAAGGTGGGGCGGTAGTGGTGTCGCGAGTGGAGGACCTGCCAGAGGCTGCCAGCCGCAGCGCACCGCAGCGATGGAGACGGCCATTCGGTGGTCGCCGGCCTCGACGACCAGCGAGCAACGCTTCCTGTCCGTGGACGTGGTGAACAAGGCCTTCCGCCTGTGTCGCGTGACAGCCTTCGACGGCCACCGCCGCCTCGAGCATGAGGTCCTGTCGACGCACACCAAGGTGCCCGCCTTCCGGGCCTTCGACTGGTCCCCCATGGACGAGTCCCTGGTCGCCGTGGGCCAGTCCTCGGGCGATGCGACCATCCTGCGCATGACCGGCGAGGCCCAGGAGTCCTTCTCCTTCCCCATCCGCCACCAGCGCTACTGCAATGCCGTCGCCTTCAGCACCCACGGCCTGCTGGCCGCCGGCCTGGACCGCGTCCGCAATGACTTCTGCCTCAACATCTGGGACGTCAACCAGCGCCTGACCATGAAGGCCCCCGCCACCAAGGGGTTCGTCGAGCCCCTGCGCAAGCTGGCCAGCTCCGAACCCATCACCAGTATCAAGTTCTTCCGGGATCAGCCTGATACCTTGGTCACCGGCGTGAAAGGGCAGTTTGTGAGGATCTATGATCTTCGAGGTGGGTTGTTGTTTATCTTCGTAGTTTTGTTCTTTTTCGCTGGGCTAGTCTTTTAGGCTTCGGGGGGTTTAGAGCTAATTTTCGTTCTCACGCACAGAGGGTCCTGGGAACCCGTCATTACAGTTCCCCACGCGCTGCGTTCACAATCTGGCTATCAATTGGCTGGATGAGAATTATGTCGCCTCGTGTCAGGGGACGAATGATCCGGTGATTTGTGTCTGGGATCGGCGCATTGGTTCGCGCTATATCACGCCCGCAGTGGGGGCGGCCACCGCTCTGGATGCCGGCCAGGCTGGCCCTGCGTTGGAGTTCAAGAACGTTGTCGCTCCCAAGTCGAGTATCTGGAGTCTGCGCTTCTCGCGTACCAAGCGGGGCTGCCTGGCGGCCTTGGCCAACACCGGTCATCTCAAGACCTATGACATCGCCAAGGAATACCTGGCGGAAGAGATGCGGTCCTCGGTGGACGAGACGCTGGGCCATGGCTCGGCCCGCAACTATCCCGAGCAGATTTACACCAAGTATGAGCGGGACATCGTCGGCCCTTTCAACCACCCTTCCCGTGGCTATGCCGAGGAGGACAGGGTCGTGGCCTTTGACTTCCTCAACATGAGCTCCGACAACGAGCCCAGTGCGATCACGATGAACGGTACCGGGCAGATCAGCATTCTCACGTCCAAACCTCCCTCACCTCCTGTACGGCTCTCGTCACAAGGCTCCCTGATATGGGGTTCGCCGGATGATGCCTTCGACTTCAGAGTGATCAGCCCCCCGTCCAACCCGGAGACTGGCATAGCGGAGATTGTGCGCGAGGTACGAGACCGGGTGTCGGTGCAGACTGGGGCGCCAGCGCACGGATCGGAGAGCCCTCTTTCAAGTCGAAAGGCCCGAGAGCGTGCTATCTCGCTTGGAACAGCAGGCGTTCCTCTTGCCGTGGAAGATGCTTTGACGTTACTGTCCGTCAGCAGGCTCCGATGCAAGGAAGGCTATCTTTTTGATGAAGCCCGGAACAAGAATATATTGGCAGATGACCCCTGGCTCCAGGGATTCTGGGACTGGATTGAACGTATGTTCTACGCTGCTCGGTGGTATTGTAGCCTTGCTAATTCGACCAGGTGCGCGGTCTGCCTCTTCCAACGAATCGATGATCATCAACGGGTTGGATCTGAACTACTTGGGGGTTTACGACGTGTGGAACAGTGACTTGGGTAAGAAAGCTTGGAGTGGATTATGACAGCACTAACACTGGGTAGGAGAGAGCCTGGAAGCTCGACGTGTGAGCTCAGACTCACCGCCCGACATCAATGAGACGATTGTCCACCTGGTTCGCCAGCAGCTGAACCTACCAGAAACTAAGGGCTGCGAGACAGACTATGCAGAACACCGACGACTGTGTCTACGAATCTGCGGTGCCGCGCAGTCATACCGTGAATTAGAAGAGCTCGTCAAGAACCTGTCGGCAGATAAGCAGCACACCAAGGCCGCCGCGTTGGCCATCTTCCAGGACGAACCAAAGCTGGCCTACCTAGCGTTACGAAGTCATGAGCCAGCGCAGGCGCACAAACTCCTCGCCATGGCCATTGCCGGCGCAGCGAAAGGCGACACCGACCCCGACTGGGAGGAGACCTGCGCTGAGATCGCCACGGAGCTGACGGACCCGTACGCGCGGGCTATCCTGGCGCTGGTCAGCCGCGGGGACTGGAACTCGGTCATCCAGGAGACCACGCTGCCTCTACGGTACCGCATCGAAGTCGCCCTGCGCTGGCTCCCGGACGACGACCTCACCACGTACCTGCATGAAGCGACGCAGGAAGTCATTCGGCAGGGCGACATCGAGGGCGTCGTGCTCACGGGCCTCGGCCACTCGGCCATGGACCTGTTCCAGTCCTACATCACCAACTTCCACGACATCCAGACCGCGGTGCTCGCGATGAGCCACACCGTGCCGCGGTTCATCAGCCACCCGCCGTACCGCGCCCGGTTCCAGGCCTGGCGCGAGACCTACCGGTGGCAGATCAACAGCTGGAAGCTGCAGCTGGAACGGGCCCGGTTCGACGTCGGCTCGCGCAAGTTCGCCGTGACCTGGGACGGTCGCAAGCTGATGGACCCGCCGCGCCAGCAGATCAGCCTCACCTGCAACTACTGCACGCGGCCGCTCACGCAGCACGACGCCTCGTCGCAGCTCACCCCGGCCGCCACGGGCGAGGTGGTGCACCCGACGGCCGGCAACCCGCTGGGCACGGCCGCCATGTCCGGCACCGTCTGTCCCCGGTGCGGTCGCCATATGCCGCGCTGCGGCGTCTGCACGCTCTGGCTGGGGTCCCCGGATCCCATGTCCAAAGCGTACGTGGCGGCCGACGCGGGCGGGGCGGAGAACCGGCGACCGAGCGAGTCGGAGCTGATGCGCCGGTTCATTGTGTTCTGCATCAACTGTAACCATGGCTTCCACGCCCACCATGCGCGGGAGTGGTTTGCGAAACACAAGGTCTGCCCGGTGGCGGAGTGTAGCTGTATTTGTGATCGATGAT